AGAAAATGAAATAAAAAAAAATAAAGAAATAAATGAGCAGAGCATAGACTGTGATATCATTTTTAAATTTCATGTATTGCTGCTGTTCGGAGCTGAAATTTTCCCTAACTGCATAAGTGGTAGCAATAAAAACACCTTAAAAATCAGCAACTTTTGATGAACACAGAAATGTTTTGAAATTATTTCTTCCTCGTCTTGATTACTGTAGTCTAGTGAACAGATTACGATACTTCTCAACACCTAACGCAGCTCATTTTAGTGTAGTGAAGATCGTACCGCTGTGTACAAAACAGCCTTCGATGTCGCTGTTGTTGCTGCCGTTGCTGATGTTGGTGTTGGTATTGGTGTTAGTGTTATTGTTGTTGTTGTTGTTGTTGTTGTTGTTGTTGTTAAAAATATAACTAATATATAAAAAAGAAAATCTTCTTCTCAATGAATTGTTTGCTCAAACGGACAGACAACCTTCCATACTGAAAAGCTGGTCAGTCAGCACACCACTGTTTTAGCAAGAAATCTACAAAAATCTTTTAAAAGAACAAGACTTTGTTTTGTCTAACATCAACAACAACATCCACAACAGAAACAACAACAACAAACAATAAAAACAACAACAATAATAATAATAATAACAAGAAGAAGAAGAAGTAAAAGTAAAAGAGGAAAGAAGAAGAACGAGAAGAAGAAGAAGAAGAAGAAGAAGAAGAAGAAGAAGAAGAAATTAAGATTCCTATATTGTTTAACAGTATCTAAAATAAAACAGCAATAACAGTTTAGTTTTATTAAATTGAGTATAAAATAAAAGAAAAAAAAATCTAGTATTTAAAAATGTTGATTGAAAGAAAAGTGCAAGGTATCAAGCTTCGATCAATGGAAGTTCACAATTTCTAACCACTGGTTTGGTGTTGATTGTAGATATATATAAAATAGCGAAAGGTAAGTGTGGTGATGGTGATGGTGGTGGTGACGATGACGATGACGATGATGGTTTTTCAACTAAACCATGGCTGCCAAGCGCCTTTGCTTTGGTAGTCCACATTTTCCTTTCCTTTCCTTTCCTTTACTTCCCCCTCCTTTATTCTTTTCCAAAGTTTTTTTTTTCCTCTCAAATGACTATTAACAGTTTTGTCATGCCAGACAAGAATCTTCAACAAATGCACAAGTTTACTCAGTTCAAATACGAACAAATTAATTAATGAATACAAGACTAAATCAAGTCCAATTCAAAATGAACAAAAAAAAAAAACAGAAAAAAAACACACACACACATTCACAACGCAGTTATCAGTGATAATTATAGAAGAAATATTAACAACAAACAAAAGAGGACTGGAGAAAAAAAAAACAGATGAAGGAGGACATTGATGAAAACGTAAACGACTTTGGGAACATGGCGCATTTGCATTCGGAGTCATTAGTAAGCAAAAAAAAAAAATAGGTGTTTGAAAAAAATTTAAAAGCAACAAAATTACAATAACAAAAAACAAAAACAAATATGAAAATAAAAAAAAAGGAGGAAAAAATACACATATATAAACCATTTGTCATCAAACTTCAATTATAAGTTTAAAAACAAAACCAAAAAGAAAAACAAACAAATAAACAAATCATCCGTTTAAACAATTGTAGGGAAAAAAAATTTATGCACACAGTAAAGCTTTCTACCAAAGAAAATTGCTTTTATAAAACTTTGTTGCAGCCAAAAAAATCCAAATAGAATTATTAAAGAAGGTGACAAAAATGAAAAAAAAAGGAATAGAGAACAATGTTAAATAAAATAAAAATTATAGTGTAGTTCCCTAACAGTTGTAAAACTGTAAAAGTTACTCT